ACACACACACACACACACACACACACGATGGAGTGGCAGGCCCTCCAAGAGGTCTCCAGCTCAGGTTGTCAACATTAGACCTGTCAGGTAGACGCCCACACTCTTGTAACCCTTTGGCTCCTCCCACATCTCTGAGACCCTCTCATGCTGTCCTGTAAAAGCAGGGCGGTGTCTGGAGTTGAGATTGGAGTAAGAACTTCTGCCCTGAGGCCCAAGCTAGAGTCCTAGGGTGGGTAGAAGTGGGTGTGGGTGGGGGGTCTCTGAGGTCTCAAGACCGTTTCTTTCTTTGTGAGTGAGGGCCAGACTGACCTCTGGGCCTCTAGCTTCAAGAGCCCTAATCGCTGGGCTGGAAAAAGTTTAAAAATATCCTCATGTTTACATTCTTTCCAAGCCCGCCTCCCGATCCTCAGTGCTGGGTCCCTTTGATCTGGCTCTGTGCCTCTGGAAGGGGCCTGGGAGAGGGGGAGCATGAGCTCCCCACTGGGGCAAACCCTGTCACTCCCTCCAGCTCCAGACCAGTCTGAACCCTACAAGACTTCTCAGCATCACCCAGAGAGTGCCTTGGAGCTGGCAAGGAGCCAATGATGGAGGGGGTGTGTCTTGCCCAGGGTCACCCAGCAGGGCCATGTAGGGGCTGGAGTTGGGGCCCTTCCCCACACTCACTCCCAAAAGCCTGGGCCTCACATTCTTTTCCTGCTATATGCCGTGCTAAATGTGTTTTGTGAGGATTATCTCATATAATCCTCCCAGCAGCTCCATTTTAATGAGGCCCATTTTATCAACAAGTAAACCAAAGCTCAGGAAGGTGAAGTGACTCACCTGGGACCACACGGCAAGGATGAGGCAGAGCATGAATCACACGTTCTTCTACCCACACTGAGCCACCAGTTACCACCCTAGCAGGGTCTAGGCCTTGCCTGCTTGCAGAGGGAGGCCCACCTCATTAGCATGAATCTCCACAAGCATATGCTAACCCACCACCAAGCCCACAAACCAATGCTAGCTTCACGCTTCTCTCCTTCTGTGACTTAGAATCCACACCTCCTCTCTGACCCTTACTTTCCTCTACAGATGGGTTGAGGATCACAGGAGAGGCTTATGAGATGTTCAGGGAAACCAAGCCTGTGTCATTGGGGATTGTAGACCTTGTGTTCAGTACTGGCATTGACACAATCAGAGAGTGGCCTAGGGCTTGGAGGCCCAAGAAAGAAGCCTCAAACTGGGGCAGATGCCTTAATTTGCCTTGGTATCCTGTTATTCCCTCTTTCCTTTTTTGGTGCCCCACTTACCTGCTCACTAACCCATACATCCATGCACCAACCCAAGCATCCATTCACTCACTCACCCACCCACATTTCTACCTGTCTATCCATCTAGAACAAGGACCCAAAAAGCAAATAATTCCAGGGTTCCAGCTCAGGTGTTGCATCCACTGCCTGGATGAACTTGGGAAGATTCCTCCACCTCTTTGTGATTCATTTTTCTAAATTTATAAGAAGGAACTGGCCTGGGTGATCTTTAAGGCCCTTCTGGGAGATCTCACAGGAGCAGTGACCAGTTGAAGGCTGTGGAACACATCTGGAGAGGTAACACAAACCTTGACCAGACAGTCCCACCTTGTGCCCTGCTCCCAAGTCTCTCAGTTGCATCCCTTAAACTCCTTGACCTTCAAGATACTCCACTGGAAAATGAAGCCAATAATCCCAACCTTGCAGGTTGATGGGGAGATTAGGTTAGATGCTGCCTTTGAAGAGCTCTGTACCCTGAAGACTTATGAGTGGGTGCAGGCCTTTGCAGAGGATCCTGGGAGAAGGGCAGGAAGCTCTGTTTGGACCACAATAGTGGGCAGAGCCTCCAGTGTGGGGGCCTGGCTAGAATCAGCCTCAGAGTCCATCCCTAGGCTGGGGATACTGGCTGAGTCTCACAGGCTCCCCCAGGCCAACCAGGATGCCCGCCCCATCTCTCTTGGCACCCATCCCACAGAATCTGCCAGGAGTGGAGAGATTATCACCTAAAAATAGGGCCTGGGCCCCACTGAAGTTGTTTTTCTCCCTTCCCCGTGATTTACCATCATCAGCTCAGGGTGCCTGGGACAGCAAGTCCCACCCTGGCTCCCCAGAGACTGTTGGGATGGGGTCGTGGGGAATCAGCGTGTGTCTGGGGTCAGTTAAGGGTCAGAGATTAGAGGTCAGTCTGGAGGTGTGGCCGGGGTTCAGCAGGGCATCAGGGCTGTGGCTCAATCTTGGGCCAGGGGAATAGGGTTCCTCTGGGGCAGGGGTAACCATGGGGGTTTCTATCCTACCCCTGGTATCCATCTGAGTGATTCCCGCTTCTCTGACTTCCTGCAGACTCTCCTTGTGCTCATCAGCCTGTGTGTGAAACCCAAAGGTGCCTTGGGGCCAGCACTGGGGCAGAGGGACTCATCCCCAGCCTCACCTCTTCTGTTACAGCCCCATGAGGCCCTCACAATTCCTGTCCAGATCACTTCTGAGACTGAAGGACCTCTACCCACCCCTGTGTGCAGGTGATTCATGTATAGGAACATAAGTGTGTTCACATATGAGGACATGGACTTACAAAGTGTCCTCTCATAACAAAGATGATATCCAGAAAAACACAGAAATGATGCTCTCAAGGACGATCTCCTCAACCATCTCCTAGACAGAGTTGACCCATCTAGGATCTACAGCCAGTGGTCTCCAAATGCCCATGGAAAAGACCCACCCTCCTCTAGTCTCAAGATCTCACCAAAAGCCCATATGATGCCCCATGACCTTCCCTACAGGGGACCCCCGCTTGTCCCTCAAGCCCCTAGACCCTTTCTGTGCAGCAAGAAATAAAGGAAGGATAAAGGATCAGGTGGACACGGGTAATGCACACACACACACACACACACACGTGGACACTTGGACATGGGCACAGCAGTCCATTAGGACACATATCCAGCTCTCCAAGGCTTTATTATTGGACAAACATCCCCCGCTTGGAGCACTCCTGCAGTAGCCCATAAAGTCAGTGTTCAGATATGCCTGGTGATGTTGCCTCCACCTCAGGACAGGTGAAGGGACTTCTGTTCTGTCCTGCTCCCCATGGAGCTGTAGTGCTGGGCCCTCTCCCAGTGGATTCAGATGGAGCTAGAGGCCAAGCTCCCAGCTGGGGCTGCCTGGACCATTCAAACCGCTGCCTTCAGGGGCACGCTGTCCACTGGCTGATCAAGGTCCTTCTTCCTCGCCAGGGTCAAGTGGGTGAATATGAGGATGAGGAAGATTCCTGAGGGGCCCAAGAGGGATGGATCAGCCCTCAGAAGAGGCCGTGGGACTTGTCCATCACTAGGGACTCCCCACTATTGGTTTTGGTTTAATAAGGAGGCAAAGTTTTCCAGAGAGCATCCCCAAGGCTGGGCTGGTATGACTCTGTGGTCCTGGTGCCTAAAGAAGCCTGACTTTTTGGCCTTCTTGGCTCTCACTAGGCCTTGCACCCCTGAGACTGCCCCAGAACACCCCACCTCTAAGGTCCCCTTCTCTGGGAAACAGTTTGGGTGGGGATCACCTGGGAGCCAGTGAGTTGTTCCCATGGACCTCTGAGAGAAAGTCATATTGTAGCATTGTAGAGCTAGCCAAGAAAACATTGGGGATGAAAGGGCTAAAGAAAAATAGAGGATGGAGAGGGAGGCTTGGACTAAAGGACGGGTTAGAAAGACCTGGGCTCTGCCACACCCTGGCTGTGTAACCTTGGACCAGTCACATAACCTCTCTGAGCATCTGAGACCTCATCTGGAAAATGGGAGATGCCAGGATCTACAAGGTTGTAGAGATGATTCAATGCGATAATCCTATGCTTAGCATAGAGCCTGACACATAGTCACTGTGTAATAATGTAATAGTAAATGCTGTTATTGATGATGATGATGATGAGTATGATAGATAACAGGAGGCAAAAGCATAATGACTAGGAGAATTGGGGGGGTTCCTTCTCCAGCCCAGGAAGCACCACGTGAACAGGGGCACTGATTATCCGGAGGCTTTGGCTTTAACCATCCATTGCCCTCCTCCATGAAGAAGCCCAGCCTCCGTTACCTATTGCTACCAGGGTGCCCACGAGGATGCCCACCGCCGACAGCTTCGTGGGCATGCCTTTCATGCGGCCCACCTTGCGCATACACTGCCTCTCCACGTTGCAGCGGCATACAATCACTGGGGGCAGACAGGGGAGGAAGGTAAGGGCAGAGGGGAAGGGCTCCCCAGCTGCTCAGAGCCCCCAGCATGGCCCAGCTGGCTGGTATGTGTGTTTTTGTGCACAAATGTATGTATTCACGTAGAGACTATGTGCCCGGCCACAGATGTGCAGGTGGGCACAGGTATATGCTGTCTGTGTGAGCCTGCATGCATGTGTACCCAGCCCCTCCACCTGCAGCCAGTGGTTCCCTCAGGAACTGCAGGCCACGCCGGAGCCCTGGTCTCACCTCGGACCAGGAGCTGCCACATCCGGCCATTGTGGCTAACAACTACAGGGATTACGTGTTCACGTGGCTCCACCCAGTGCAGGCCCAGGGTGAGGTAGGCATGAGAACCTGTTGGAACCATAAGCAGTGATCAGAATCACTAGCCTGGACAGGCCCTTTGGGAGCTGCTCCCCTTAGGCCCAGCCCCACCCTCACAGTGGAAGGGCATCTCACTTCCAAGTGCCACCCCCTCCCTGCCTGGCCCACTGCCTTCCCGCCTTTCCCCACCACACACCATTGAGAGCATGGAGGCGCCAATCTCTCTGCACCGTAGGGTTGGGACCAAGGGCAAAGCTGTAGGGGCTGTGCCCACTGGTCTGGTCAGGGTCCTCAGTGGGTCCACTGACAACCACGCCGTGGTTCTGGCGGGGTGTGCAGAGGTGTCGAGTAAGCACAGGGGTCAGAGTTGGGGCTGGGGCAGAAGAGGCCTTCAGGAAGTGGATCACAAGTGTCACAGAGGTACTCCGTGTTGGCTCATCTGCAGAGGAGGCAGTGCTGAGCTGGCCTGGGCCCTTGTGGAGGTGGAGATGAGTCCAGAGTCCCTAGGCTGGTACCTTTCCCAACAGCCCATCAGTCTCACCTTGCTGATTCCCCTGCCACAGCCCCTCCCTCCACTCTACCCCTCCTCTCCATCCCTATCATCATCCCCACGCCAGTCTCTTCCTCACAATGCACTAAACCCCCTTCACTAGCCAAACTGCTGCCAGGCCTTTCTGTGACTTTTTGGATGCCAAGCTTGCCCTCACCACCCCACCACTACCAGTCCCACTACCTGTACCAGGATGCAACAATGTGGAGATGCCCTGACTGTCGAGAAGCTCATCCCTGCTGGGTCTGTGTTGCACCACAGGACAGCCCAGCTCAGACCTGAAACCTGCCTCCCTGGGCCAGCTCTTTATCCTGTCCAAGTGGCATTCAGAGCCCCCACACCTGGCCTCAGTGTCCCATTCAGGCTCACCTCCTAGCACTCCTGTCCCAGGAAAGAGCCCCTGGCCCTCCTTCTATCTGCTCAGTTCCACACCCTCTGCTCCCAGCCTGTGTCTGAAGCCGATACCTTGAGCGGCCCTCTGGCATGAAAGGGCAGGGTTGGGATTGCAAATGTCCTGCTAGGAGGGTGATCTGAGAGGGAAGGCAGAGGCCAGATGCTCTCAGAGAGGGACAATGGACCCAGCCCCTCATCCTTCTTTCCTGCCTGGGGCAGAGTAGATGACAGCAAGGGCCCCAGGGAGGCAACCTGGTCCTGCCTGTCCATCTGTCTGAGGCTTGTATTCATCCCAGAGGCCCCCACCACTGCCTGGCCATACCTGCATCCTGGGCCTCCACGAGCACTGTGTACATGTCCCCAGGCCGGGCTCCCTGCAGAGACCGGGCAGTGTGCACCTCCCCAGAGACCTCTTTGATGCAGAGCCAGCCTTCTGAGTCATTGACCAGGGAGAACCTGAGGCCCAGAGAAGATGGGAGAGGTGGCGAGGCACTGGGACCATATATGGGGTCTTGCCCAGAGACCTCCAGGACCGTGTGACCTGCTCATGTTCCACATCTTCTCACAGCAGTACCCTGCATGCCTAGTCTCTCTCCCCAGCTTCAGGGACTTATAGGAGGGCAGGGTTTGAACCAAGGATACTGTGGGTGGGGAAGGGACTCTCAGAGCCTGGAGGACCTGACTCAACTCCACTAGTCCCAGGTCACTCCACCAAGGGACCAGGATGGGGCCAGAACCTAGGAACAGCCTTGTCTGTGCTACAGTCTGGATGAGGGGATGGGCTGGAGGAGAGCCTGGTCCAGGCAGCACAAAGAGGCATCACCTGAGGTCTCATGGGGTCCAAACACCCCTCTCCATGTTCTGTCCAGTTCATCCAGGCCCCCAGCCCCAGGAGTCATAGCCTTGGCATTAGTCACAGTCTGAGGAATATTCCAAGCCACCTCTAAGGCCCTGGGGTCATCCCTGAGGAGCAGGTGAGGTCCAGCTCAGGTAAGGGGCTAGGTTTCTGGCTCACCTGAGGGCACTGCTTATGGGGTCTGAGGGCTGAATGGTCAGCAGGAGGGAGCCGGCTGGAGTGCTGACTGGGACACTGGCTTCGTAGCTCTTTTGGTCCAACTTGGGGGGTGGCACCACCTTCTCCACCAGCAGAGTCACCGTGGCTGTGGCTCCAGGGCCCGGGCCTGGCCCCACCAGTTCTGCCACACTCCGCACCACCACCAACAGCTTGTGAATTGGAGCTGCCTCATAGCTGAGGTTCTAGAACAAGTGGGGCCTGGGTCACTGTGTGGGCCGGGGCGTGGCACACTTGTGCATGCATGTGTGTATGTGTGTGCCCTTTCCCTATCCCCAGACCCTTACCCTGAGGAGCTGCAGTTGGACATGACCAGAATCTGGCTCCCAATCCAGGCCAAAGGTCCCGTCCATATTCCCTGCCTCAATGGCAAAGTCCATGAGGCGGAAAGCAGGCTCAAGGTCGGCATCAGTGGCCATGAGTGTGGCCACCAGAGTCCCAGGCTCTGTGTCTTCAGGGAGGCTTATGGGCTCAATCTGGAGACATTTGGAGGGGCTGTGAGTCTCCCATCAGCACCTTCCCAAGGTCTCCTCCCTGCTGCTTACCTGGGAAGTGATGAACTCGGGAGCATGGTCATTGATGTCCGTGATGGTGACAGCAACCTCACACGTGCTGCTGAGGCCTGAGGCAGGGGAGGGCATGTTGGGGAGGCCAGGGTAGGAGCAGAGGGGGCATGGAGACTGGGTCGCCATCGGGGTCACCATCAGGGCACTTACCGCCCTCTGCTCCTCCTAGGTCAATGGCCAACACCTGAATCAGGATGTTCTGGCCAGCATGGAGGGGAAGAGGTCCCAGTGTCACACTGCCCGAGGTGGAATCTAGCTCAAAGGCACTCCCTTCTGTCCCCTCCTCAGGTTCAGGGCTCAGCAGCCGATACACAATGTGAGAATTGGGGGAGCCAGGGGCATCCATGTCCTCTGCCAGCAGCCTGGTCACCTCAGTACCTGCAAAGACAGCACCCACCTGAGTGGGACCAAGGCCCAGACTGGAGGAGGTCTTACTTCACTCATTCCTCTTTTGTGCTAAACTAAACCTGAGTGTGTGTGTGTGTGTGTGTGTGTGTGTGTGTGTGCATGCATGTGTGCATGTGTATGTGAGATGGGGGGACATTGAGGCTGGCCCCATCCCAAAGAAGAGCAAGATGAGATGGTTCAGAGGGACTTCACCTTTCCCCTAGCTCCTGGCAAGAACAATAGCCCACCTGGAGGGGTGAGCTCAGGGATGTTGATTGAGGCCTCATGTGAGGGGCAAACAGGCACGTTGTCATTCTCATCCATCACCACCACCTGCAGCTCCAGAGGTTCTGTGTAGTCCTCCCCACGGGTATTCTGAGCCCGCACCTGGAGCAGGTACTATAGTGGGCAGTGGGAGGCCTCAGATGAAGGCCAAGGGCAGCTCCAGCCTGGCCTGGGTCTGGGTTCCCTTCTGATGGCCAGCTCCAGCTCTTCTGGGCACTCTTTCACTGCCTCAGTGCCTGTGGGGGATGTGACACCCCCAGAAGCCAACCAGACAGTGACCAAGCACCCATTAGCTGGCCCTCCTGGCTTCCCCCTCACCTCACCTCAGCCTGAGCTTCTCGGTCCAGCTCCCTGGTCACATAGAGATTCCCCTCTGCGTCCACAGCAAAGGGTCCAGGGGGCTGGCTCTCCAGGTGGTAATGTACATTCCCCCCACTCCAGTGCACCTGGGAGAGAGACACAGAATGAGAGCACCCCAGGATAAGAGGAAGGAATAGCCTGTGTCACCCCCAGGACAACAGGCAAGAACAGCCTGTGTCAGCCCTTATTGCCCAACTGTTCCCAGGTGGGGAGACTGGGCCCCGATTACTGTGTGACCCAAGGCAAGCTGCTGTCCTCCCTGGAGTCCAGAGAGGGTCCTTCTGTTTGGGGGCACTTGTGGTTGTGGCAGCTCCATGGTGGCCTTGGCCTGGTCCAAGCCTGGACCCTGCCCAAACTGCCTGAATGACCAGGTTGTTTAACTCTCTGCCCTCTCAGGCTGGGCCTGACCCCAGGGCATTCCTAGAAGAGGCCTGAGACATTCCTGGTCTGGGTGACAATCCCCATGGCAGCAGGGAGGTAGCAGCTGTTCTCCTTGAGGAAGCCTGGGGCAAGCTCAGGAGGTCAGAACGCAGAGCCACATCTGTCAGAGGAGAGCAGGTGAAGGGCTGTGGGCTTGGTCCCAGGGCCTTAAGTACCCCAATACATGATAAGAGCTGATAAGGACAGTGGAGGCAGGATCACAGGTAGGGGAGACAGAGGGGTCAAGCTGGGCCCCAGGACCCACCCCCGAAATCTCCATGAGACTCAGGCCCAGCTACACCATCCTTGGGGCTATTTTAGCCACTGACAGCGGCTAAACTTACTCACTTGCTCAATATGGTGTGGGTACGGAACTTTGAGATTCTCTGCCAGGTGAACAGGNGGATAGGAGGGGTGGGGGTAACCTGTGGCTCTTCCCAGCAGGGAGCCATGCAAGGAATTAGGGCTGGGTTTCCCCTCTGGTAATCTGAGCTCTTGACCTCAGCAGTGTTTCCTCATTGCCATGGGAACTGCATCCACATTGGGCCACTCAGGCCCCAGGCATTCCCCAACAGGCCAGACATACTCACCACAAGCCTAGGTATGGCAAGGGGCCCCGGGAACCAAAACCAGGACATGACCTTGAGACAGCCCCCACTCCAACCTTCTGGTCCTTCCAGCTCTTTGGATAGCCCAGCCATCAAATCCCACCTCTGCCCCTTGCTAGCTGTTTTATCTCGGCCCATTTATCCTGGCTGAGCCTCAGAGTCCTTCTGCATAGAACAGGGGTAATCTCTTCATGGGGGGCTTTATAAGATATAAATAACATGAAATGCACACAGTGGTTGGCACATGTCTGGTATAGGACAGGGGTCGGCAAATTGTGGCTCTTCAGATGCGTTCCGTCTCAAAAGTTTGCCGACCCATGGAAGAGCCAATCCTGTCCCTCACAACAATTTAAAAATTATTCGAGAGCCATAAATGTATTTTTACATAATCACCATTAAGTGAATAATATCCTTTAAACTTTTTATAAATGAAACTATGATAGTTTTATTTTCATTTTCAATTTTACTTCAGAGCCTGTGGCTCGCGAGCCGCAGTTTGCTGAACCCTGGCGGCTCTTCCATCTCAAAAGTTTGCCAACCCCTGGTATCGAGTATCTCGATAAAACTTATTGTCACGCTTGGTTGGACAGGGCAGGTAGAGTGAACCAGGTGAGCCTTATCCTGCTTCTCCTTTCTGGCTTCTGCTCCATTCTCTCCAGAACAGTGGTCTGACCAGGAGAGGGGCAGATGCAGATACCTCTGTCCTCCCGTACCTACTTCTCTCTGTGGGACCCCATACCCTTCCCCCACTCCTCAGGTAGCAAAATGTTGCAAAGGGAACTTGGTTGGGTTTCAGTATCCCTAGCTCTCCTCACACAACAGCCCCCACACCCCAGTTCCTCTGTGCTAAGGCTCAAATCATTCATTCATTCCACTGACCTCTACTAAGTACCTTTTGTGTGGCAGACACTTGTGCTGTGGCCATGACGATCATGACATAGCTGGGCATGTTCATACATATCATCCAGTCCCTGGATCAATCTCACTTAGCTATGAGTTGTTGTTCCTATTTTGTAGACATGGTAACTGAGGCCTGAGAAGTCACAGGCCAGAAACAGCAGAACCAGACACACCTGGTAGAAGGCTTCAGGGGCGTAAATTTCACCCCCACCCCCACCCCCCTGTACCCATGTTCTCAGACAGCAGCTGGGTTCCAGAAAGTTCCCTGGACACTAGCCCAGGATTCACAGATGGTGTCCCTGCAGGCCAGGCACAGATGAGTCAAGACTGACAAGGGGACCTGATATCCCAGCTGTGACATGAACAGCTTGATGTCCCTCACTCACCATGGCCTGGCTGCCAGGAGGGCCAGCTGAATGACTCAGTGATACCTGCCTCCCCCATGACCTCCCACCCCCAGCTGAACAGACACCACAGACACCTTAGAAAGATGGGGCTGTCAGGGCAAAGGTATACACATGGTGAAGCCTATATATACCCAGGTACTGGTGGTTGGGAAGCTCCCTGGGGCCTGAAGGGCCCTGGTTGGTCACCCTGCCTCTCTGGAACACAGAGCTTCTTCATCTGTGGAATGGGGGAGTACAATGCCTGGAAGGTCACCTGAAATAGGCCCAGATCCATGTAAAATCTCCACAGAGCTGTCCCAAGCAATTGTCATGACTATCCCATCACACATGAAGAAACTGAGCAACATGTGCTGATGGCTTCACCTCTGAGCTTGGGCAGCCAGACCTTGGTCACTAGGTGGTGAAGCCACTCTCTCCTCAAATTGGGGGTGGGGGTGGGCATAGGCCCATCCATCCAGGCAACAGCACCCCCTGCCAGCTGTACAGTACCTGCTAAACTGCTTAGGTTCCTCTTTACTCCCTAGCTAGAGGTCTTACGGAGTAAATTACTTATTCTAGCTCGTTTCCTCACCTGAAAAATAGCGATAATAAAGAATAGCAACACAGAGCTGGATTAAAAATTTCCAGACTAGGTAGTATATGTAAAGCCCTCAGCTAATGTAAAGCCCTCCGTTAATGCCTACTCTTAGGACAGTCCATGTCGTCAGTGGCCCTCAAAAAAAGATTTGCCAAGTGCAAGGCTCCCTGATGAGGCCTCTGCCCAATCACATCTGAGCCTCGGCAGGGATGAGGTAGGCAGAGCAAGGCTTCTTGATTTCCTCATTTATCTTCAGAGAAAGAAAGTGAGGTGAGGAATCATAGCATTATGGCTCCTAGCTGGTTGATCCAAGGTCTAAGACCCACGGTTTCTCCTGGTAACCAACTGTGCTCTGGTCTCAGGGCTGGGGGAAACAGAGGCCCTAGACCTGAGCACCTGGGGTGACACATACCTCCAGGGGTGCTGGTAGAGAGGGTGCTTCAGGTTCCTTTCAATAGAGAAATCTGTTGTCAGTGCACTGACCAGGAGACCAGACTGAGCTGAGCATCACCAATAGTGGGACAAGCTGGCATCACACACCCAACTGGTGGATGTTAAAGGATACATACAACAATCCTGGGCAGGGTTCTCATTAATAAACTTAAATCTGAACTCAATCAACTTCTGGTTTACAGAAAACACAGCAAAGGAACAAATCAGATTGAGGGACTTCTCCAGGACAACTCACCTGGACTTTCGAAAAAAGTCGGTGTTAAGAAAGATAAAAATGGGCGGCCGAGTGGCACATTGGTTAAGAACTGGCTTGGGATGCCAGAGGGCCCCGGTTCGGATCCCACATATGAGGGCCAGTGACACTGCCCTCTACAGCTAAGATNCAGGATCTCCCTCCCTTTCCAACCTGCTCCCTGCTTACCATCCAAGGAGACCTCGCGAGAGCGCACCAGGTCACTCTTGTTGCCCACTAGGATGATGGGCACATCATCTGTCTGCCGCGCCCGCCGCAGCTGGACTCGTAGCTCTGAGGCCTTCTCAAAGCTGCCCTTGTCTGTCACTGAGTACACGATGACGTATGCATCTCCCATGGCCATGCAGTGTCCAGGTAGCCAGTGGCCCCCATCCTAAAGAACACACACACACATTTACAATAATCCTCACACCCCAGCTATAAGGCTGTCACTCCTGTCAGGCCCCTACCCCCAATTCACCCCTCCCACCCTGCCCTGGGTCTCAGCCTGCATCCTACCTGCTCCCAAATGTCATAGACCATGAGCGATGCCTCTTCTCCGTCCACCACGATGGAGCGATCATATGTGTGCCCTAGACAGGAGACCAGTAGTCAGGTTACCTGCTGGCTGCCAAAAGCCCACCCATGTGCCAGGCCACATCCCCCAAATCCTCCCCAGAGCCCCCGCAACCTTACCCTCCACTGTTGGCTTCTATGTGGCAACAGAAGTGAGAGGGCTGGGAAGTGGAGGGTGGAGAGCATGCTGTGCCTGACCCCCACCTAGACACCCTTGCTCCAAGCTAGCAGTATCCTTGATGGCTACTCCTGTGCTCCCTGCCCTTCTGTTGCCTGGGCCCCAGGGCGGTTCTGACCACAGTGGCCTGAGTTAGAATAGTAACAGTCACATCCCCTGGGGGCTTTGGTCTCCTAGGGGGCCTCTCCTAGAAACTCCCTTTGGCTGTGTTCCTGCCAGTCCTGGCAGGGAGGGATGTCCTGTCCCCATCCTACAGAGTAGTCCTATGTATGCTCTGGGTCTTCTACTCAGCATTGCTTCCCAAACCAAGGCTGGGGGATCCCTTCTCCTTTAATTTCCTCATCTGTGAAGTGGGTAGGTAGAGACATGATTCTGAAATTGACTTCAGAATCCCTTGGTATCTGTCGCTTTTAATTCAGGTCCCCAGCCCTGTAGCCTCCAGTCCTAACTCTGGAATCTCCACTGAATAGTCCCAGCCCCTCACCTGCGGCCTCTGCTTCAGGCCCATCCTCTACACCACCGAAGATGCGCGCCAGAGCGCTCTTGCCCACGCCAGGTGCCCCCAGCAGCAGCACCTTGTAAACGCTCTCGTCTGAGTCGCTGCCCCCTGAGCTGAGCGAATCGGAGGAGCTCTCAGGCCAGTCCAGCCTCGGACCCGGGGACCCGGTCCCCGGCGCGGCCGTTGCCAGAGCACCGGGAGCCAGCGCCGCCTGCAGGTCACGCTCATCCACCGGCATGCTTCTGCGGTGCAGCGGAGGCGCAGGGCCCCAGGGTGTGCTGCCCCGACGGCGCTCTCTCTCCCGGCCCCCGCGGCCGCTCCCGCCAGCTCCGCTGCCGCCGCCATTCAGAGTCATCGCGTCCAACGCCGTCTAGGGAAGAATCGGGATGGCCATGTAAGCCGCAGTGGAGTTGGAGTGGAAGGCAGGACCCCAGGCGCACCTGCCCGACCCGCGCGGTCAGGCAAGATGCTCGGGGCTGACGACCTGCCGCGGTCCCATCCCAGTTGTGATGGTCCTTGCGCCCTGACTTGTGACTGATCCTCCTGCTCCGGCAACCCAGATGGTGCGACTACCCCCTTCCCGCTCCGCCAGGACACTCACCCACTCGCACACCGACACGGTCAGGACTAGGTTCGGGCTCGGACACTCGGTGCTGTCACAGCCGCTGCCTTCTCTGTCCGCACTGGGTCGGGGCTCCAGAGCCTCCTATTTAAGCCTCTGCCCACCCCCGCCCCCGCCCCTGCGCTCGCCCCCGTCCATGCTGAGGCGGGGGCTGACGTGTCAGTCCCCTTCCCCCCAGGGGGATCCCGCACCCTCCTCTTAGGACCTCACACCCAGAGACCCCGCCCCACCCGCCAGGGCGGGGCAGAGGCAGACTTGGCAGACAAAGCCGGGGGTCTAAGTGTGCGTGTGTGGTGGGGGGCGGAGAAGGAAGGAGAGTATGTGAATGGTGCTGGGAGGTGGGTGGGGGTGAAGGGTGCTATCGTGGGTGGGGGCAAGAATCAACCAAGTGTTCCACTCCTCTCTGGGGAAGAATTAGGTCTGGCCCTTTAAAAGTGAATTCTCCCTTCCCTCTCCCCCAGTCCTGGCCTGTTGCCCAAGCAAGCAGAACAGTTACAGGCTGGACAAACTTCACTCTTCTCTGCCCTGTTAACACCTACTCCCCACCCTGCAGATATCTGAGCTAGATCTTAGGGGTCCTAATTCGGGCTTCTAGTCTCAACACCAAGTTCTTCCCACTCCCCTGAGTGGGAAGATTTCACCTGATAAGCCTGCCCTTCAGCGTGACGGTTAGTGTCACCCCATGAGCCCCTGGGGGCCCTTGGAGAGCTGTTTGCGGGAGATGGTAAGGAACGGAAGCCCTCTGGCAGTGTGTTGCAGGTAGCAGGTAAAGGTGTAAGCTTGAATCCAGGCCCGGAGAAGGGAAAGGATGAACTCAGCACCACTTCACCCCCCAGCACCCTTCAGACATCTGCCAGCAACTCTGCTAAAAATACTTGGCCCTGACCCTGGTTATTCGGCTCCTGAGCTGGAGGTTGCCCAAAGTTGGGGAAATCCTGGCAGGCAGGTGTCAGATGCCAACAGGAGCAGATAGGGTGGAACTGGACCAGAACTGGATCAGAGCTGGATGTAGCCACTTTGAGTCTTCAATGCCTCCCTCCTTCCCTCTAAGCACCAGACTGGGCTTGCTGTTCAGGGCATATGCTGGGCCTGGAGATTCAGACTCCCATCCAGGAAGGGCATAGGGTGTGACGGGGGTGGAAAGCTCTTAGCCACCACTTGGTACCACCACTGCCCAGAGCTCACCCCCTCTTCAGACCTGGGTGGGTGCTGGGTAACAGAGAGGAGGAGATGTAATGAGGCGGCTTGGTTTCTAGTTCTGGCTCTGCCTCCAGGTTCCTGCGTCTTGCCTCCATCCCAGCCTCAGGGTGCCCAGCTATAAATTGGGCATGACTTGTTTCCCCTTGCTCATTTTGGGGTGTGTGAGGATTGGGGACAGGCAGACTGTGAGGCACTTTGTGACAGGGACCCGCTATCAGACTCTGACGTTTGGTTTTAAAGGGTGGCAGGGGTGAGGGGCACCCATTCAGTGTTCAGGTGACATCACAGATGGATGGATCCTGGTGGGCTGTTGTAGGTTGTCATGGAGACCTGGTATGGCTCTCTGGCTGCTGTCAGTTTCCTTGGCAACATGAGAGGAAGTTGGAGTGAGGAGGGCATGGCTAGGTGTTCGGGGGTTCATGCTGGCCCCTCTTTCTTGAAGTCCCCAGAGTAGGCAAGCACCAGACTGCAGGGTGGCCTGTCCATTTGTATCCTTCACATGGCCTTGTAAGGGAGGTGGGGGGTCTTGGAGGCCTGAGCAACCCATGCTGGCTCTAANCTCTATCAATGCAGAGAGGACACCAGGTTTCCATTGTCTGTCTCTTTCATCAGACTGAGAGCCCCTCCAGAGCAGCACTCAGAGACCCAGCTGGCCCTTGCCTGGCTCAGCAGCTCCCGGCTGCCTTGTGGAACTAAGACAAGGAGCTGGGAGTTGCACATGAAGGGCAGATAAGCAGTACACGATCTGAACTGGGCATGCAGGACTCTATACCACCCACCAGGGAACCAGTGGGTGTGGGGACAGTGGCCTGGAAGTGCTCCTGAGGCTCCCTAAGTGTTCACATTAGCCCCCGGACACTGACAGGGCTGAGACAATGGACCGCCTCTGCGCCTCTGAGAAGGAAATAGAAGATTGAGCCAGCTCAGGTGACCTTGAGGGAATTGCAGAGCTGACCAGGGGCCCTTCCCCCAGTGAGGGCAGCCAAGCAGAGCCAAGAGAAGCTTCTGGGGCCTGGAAGTCCAGGATGAGGAGGGAGGGTGGGAAGGGTCACAAGGTCTCTAATCTCTTCTTATCCTCAGAGTTTCCCATGGTCTCCCCCGAGTCCTTCCCACTGCATATCTGGTTAGTTTCTCTCAGGCTGGAGGCTGAGTCAGGACCCCTCAGCTGCCCCCAGCCTTGTCTGTCACAAGCTGAATGCCTGCCTCAGGGTCCTTCAGGCATCCCAGGCACCCCGACCTGGAGCAGTGCAATATAGGGAAGTTGAGGGGGTCTTACATGTGTTAAGCTCCTACTATGTGCCCGGCACGGCTCTAAGCACATACTTTCACTATTCTACCCACTTCATTCTGAAGGGGACATCATCCCCATATCACACACTGGGGCACAGAGAGGTTGAATGGCTTGCTGAGGGTCACACAGCCAATAAACAGCAGAGCCAGGAAGTTCTGAATTCTTCTTCAGGCCTCGGGACCTTCACCTGCTCTAAGAAAACCATGTCCTCCACATGCCTTGAAGTATGTTGAGGGGTGGGAGTGGAGAGCAGCAGCAGCTTTGAGCAGTTAAAATTGCCTTGGGGGGCATGTGTGTTCGTCACAGAGGTCACACAAACTGAAGAGCAGCCTTCAAACCTCCTCCTGCCATTGAACAACTGCAATCAGGATTCTAACCAAGTTCCGAGGGCTCCTAGTAGAATTAATTAATTGAACTAGTGAAGGAATATATGGACCCTTCAACCTTCTCAGCCTGCAACCTTCTCAGAAAATGTCCCCAGCCTTGCCCCAGGCTACCTCCAGGCTTGGAGACTGGCAGACTTGTATACCAGACCCCACTCAGCCACTTCTACCTGTGTGACCTTGGGCAACTGCTTCAATTCCCCATTTGCCATTGCTGAACGGGGACACTCCTTCATGAAATGATGTATGTAAAAGTCCCAGTAGGCACCTGTGCCCAGATGGGCTTCCCTTCCTGGGTTTTGGTGGTGGGGAGACAGGCACACCTCTATCAACAAACATGCACAAGTTCCCACACAGATGCAATGTCTCTCATCCCAGGAAGGGAGGGTTCCAGGAACCCGTTCCCACCAAGACCACATTAGCCAGTGCTGAGCATGGTATGTTCTGGCCTGGCTACTCACAGTGGAGAGAACAGTGAAAGCCCCCTCAGTAGCCCAGCATCAGCAGGGAAGTGGGGAGCCACGTGGAGTCAATTCTGAGGGATGTGCCTTCCTCACCCCGCCTTTAACAAACCTGCCGCCTCCTTCCCCAGCCAGGGAGTCTCGAAGTCTTCCACAGTCACCCCACCTGGGAGGATTTTCAGCCCCTCCAGGTGAAGCAGGGCAGAGACACCAGGCCGAGGGCCAGACCCAAGGTTACTGTTTGGCCATGAGAACTGAGGCAGCGAGTGGTCCCTCAAGCAGCCTCAGTTTCCCTTACATACAGTGGGGTGATTAAACCCTCTATCATCTGGGCAATGCCAGGCCCCAGTGCAGGAGAAGAATCTGGATAACAGCTGGGAGGGGTTCATGTCTCCTCCTGCTGCTTGGACCCCCAACCAGGCCCCAACACACACTTGCTCCCTCTGACTCAGCGGGCTATATCCAGGCCCAAACATTAGGATAGTCAGGGCCACACACTAGGGTGGAACAGAGAGCCCCCATCCCTCAACTTTAGGAACGCTGCCTGGTCCTGCAGTATTCCCCCACCCCCACCAAGGAAACACAGAGTCGACAGCCCTAACATACCAGGAAATAGTCTTTATTACAAAAAATCTGCATGTAAACAAATAGCCACTGCACTGAACAGCCTCCCTCCAAGGCATGCATACCAGGTATAGAGAAAGGCAGAGCCCTCATCCACACACAGGCCTGCCCCATGAGCTTGGCTTCAGCTGCTGCTTGGGATGCACATGGGCCTGCATACACACCTCTGTGGGCCCAGCCCTTGATGGCCCCTGGGAACCACTTCCTTGGGCAGCACTGTCTGTCCATGACCATGAGGTGGGGGGCACCCAGAGTCTGAGCAAGCCCTTCGGCACTTAGGGCAGTTGGCTGGGCCAGCCCACCAATCTGCCCACCTGCCTGCACAACACAGTGAGTGCCCATGGGGCCTAGAGCACCGAGAGGTCGTGGCAGGACTTGGACTTGGCACGAAAGGCCATCTTGCGGCTGTTGCGGGCTACAATGCGGCCCAGGAAGCGCTTTGCCTTCTTGCCAAGACTCTCTCGTCGCCGGGTGCCCGCTTGCCGACGGGCATTGGCCTCTTTGCTGTCCCTGCGCAGGCGTATCTGGCGCACAACGCCCTCAAACAGTGCCTGGACATTGTGGTGCAGCGCAGCTGACGTCTCGATAAACTTGCAGTCGAAGACCACGGCGCAGGCCCGGCCCTCTGGTGCAGCGGGGACAAGCACACATCAGTAAACAAAGTGGGTGGGTGAAGAACCTACTCAAACCCTTTCACTCAGCTATCACTCAGGAATCTGTGGGTAAGGGATGGTGGAGGTATGGGTCCTCCCCAGAAACAGAGACCCCAGCTCCTGGACAAAGGGTCCTGGGCATTGCTGAGTCACCCAACTGGCAGAGTTTAAGGAGCTCACAAAGGCCCACAAAAGGAGACTCGTTTATTGAAATAATTTGAAGTCTGATATGTAAACGGAAGTGCTGCAGTCGTCAACACAAGAGAATGAGAACTTTGTTGGACAACTTAGTGCTTTATGGTTTGATGTTATATCATGATGAATGACGAGTGGGATACAGGGAGTAGAACATCATCAAGTCACTGCTAGATTCCTCTATGAGGCTCAGTTTGGGGGGGGCCACAGAGGAGGATGCTGAGTCCAAGAGGGGAGGGGCCTCCCCAGAGGCAAGCCTACTTCAAGACTGGCCCAGGCCTGATTCCCTGCACTCTCCTCACCCCTCATCTGTCAGGCCAGGGACAAAGAGGACAGACGGCAGAGGAGGGCCCTGAGGTGACCCAGCAGCNTGAGAGGCCAGGGAACAGGGGCTCAGGGCACCCTTCTCAACAAGGTACCAAACACAAAGCCAAGCATATGGCAGGTGTTCAGGATATGCTCTTGGCCAAGGAATGAAAGGACTTTTAGCACTACTGTGAGCATCCAACCAAGACCTGATAGTTTGCAAAGTCACTTCCATTATCTACCCACACAATAAATGACTGACGGACTGGATGATGGGTGGATTACCAGGATTGGGGTGGGGGTGAGGGAGAAGCGGTGGGTGGGTATGTAGATGCCAATGACTGGGGGATGAATAGATGATTGACTAGGTAGTTAGATGGGGGTTTAGGGAGCAGTAACATGGATGAAGATTTGGGTGTGTGGATGGGTTACTTTGGGTGAATGTTTGGATAAACGGACTGCATATATAGTTGGGTGGTAGGTAAGTGTATGAGTGGCTAGGTGGGGTGGGGGGTATGATTAGCTTTTCTTCCTATCCCCAGCCCATGCCTCTGGTCTGAACTCCCAGGTCCAGGTCTCTCTTGCTGTCTTGCTGTCAGTCCAAAGGTCTCCCAGCAACATCCTAGGATAACACCCCTCAGGTCTCTTCAATCCTTGTACCTTAGGCCTGAGTCTCCAGTATGTAGAACTGAGACACTTCATTCATACCATTGCTCAACTCTCCATGCATGGTCCTGCCTCCAGGTGTGGTTCAAGCCTGGCCTTTTGCCTTGTTATTCTCTCCACCTAGAATGCTCTTTCCTCATCTTTATCTCTCAAGCTCCAATCTGTCCTTCTAGTACCACCTTCCCCAGCTTTCCCTGACCCTTCCTCCCCATCACACCCAGTTCAGGCTTACCCTCAGGGCTGAGGGCCAGAGCCCCTAGCCGAGGCTCCAGCTGGAACATGTCCGGGGAAGGCTGGACTGGGGCCTGGTTCAAGATGTGGAATCGGAGATCCGAGTTGGCTGTGCCTGGCTCATCCCCGTCTGAAGCCTCAAGGAAGAGGAAGGGGATTCCTGGTGTGTATGGAGAGGGCAAACCTAAGGGTTGGGGAGGGTGGGAGAGTCTCCCATGCCTCCCTATCTTTTCCTGGTCCTTCCTTCCATATCCATCATCATATCAGGACTCGAGGTGAGCCATGGCATTTCATCCCACTTCACAAGTGAGCAAACTGAGGCCAAAAAAGGATGGGATTCACCTGAAGACCCTCATTGGGATACAGAATGGGACAAAAATGAGAAGGGCAGCTTGGCCCCTGGCTGCCTTGTCCCTATGCCAACTCTCTGGCATTTTTTTTTACTCTCTGCTCTTCTATCAGTGCCCACTTGACCTTGCAGTGATCTGGCTGCCCTGGGCACTCACCAGGCCTGGTGCCCTGGCTCAGATGAACTCTGTAGATGGCCTGGGAGAAATGGGGCACCTGGTCATTCTCATCCTTCACATGCACAAGCACAGGCTGTGGGCCCCATATGACACGTCCATCCTCAGTCTCCAGGGTGACCTGCAGGGAAGGGTAGTCAGTGCCCTGCCCTACCTTCCCTGCTGTCCCCTACTCCTGGCCCAGCCCTACCTGTAGCCGGTAGTTTGCCTGTTCCTCTCGATCCAGGGCCCTTGTTACCAGCAAGAAGCCAGACTCTGGATCCACAGCAAAGAGGCCCTCAGCTGCTACGCCTGAGTTTCCTGACAGCATAATCTGGCCTTCAGCTTCCTCACGGGGCAGCTGCAGCTGGTGGGGGAGAACAAACATGAAGGGAGTGGAAGCCAGGCCTGGGGGAAGGCCCCTGCACCCAATGGTCCCATTTTATATGTGGGAAAATTGAGACTCAGAGAGGACTAGCACTTACCTGAGATCACACAGCCAGTAACAGGACTGAGATTCAAAGCCAGGGCTCTTTCCTCTGTACCTGATGCTTTCTAATACGCCCTGCCCTTCTTTCTAAAGCTTGAAACCCCTCCTCCAATACTTCATTCTTTAACTTAAAGCTCTACTTTTTGGGGGGATTAAAATCTTGCTAGTCATGCACCCTATATCACACATTCTCTAGATAGCAGGGCTTAAAAGGGAGACAGAACAAAAGGAGAAAGGAGTGCTGAAGGTAGAGGAAGCTGGACTTGGAGGGAGGGTAACCCATCCAGTGCTCAGGCTCACCTTGGTCAGGTACAAAGGAAAATTTCCACCATAGTTTTCCGGGACTTCCACGTATAGCTCTGCAGGCTGGGCCTCAGGGAGAGCCTGTGGGAAGAGTCTCACCTTGTTACCAGGATCTATCTTCCTGCCATGAGTGCTGGAGACCTGACACAGGTGAATTTCTGCCCCTTCCCTGTGCCTGGCCATGCCATAGCCCATCCACCCTCTGGTCTTCGACCTCACGATCCCACAACAGGCCTATAGCCAACTCTGACCCCCGCCCCCAACTACTACCATCCATGGTCAGTGTAACTGGTCCTGGTGGAGCGGGGGGCAAGGGTGCCAACACTTAAAGCCAGGATCTGAAGGAGGGGAGCAGGGCCCAGCTCACCTGGGGGACGGAGAGGCAAAGCAGCCACAGCCAGGTAAGGACCATGGTCAGAACACACCTGAGGGACAAGGCAGTGTAAGGATCTAGCCCAGACTGGTAGGCAGGGGGTCCCTCCCATTACCCTCTCCCCCTAGAAAGTATTCCTCCCTTCATCCCTACTCAGCCCCATACCTTGGCTTCCCCAAGCCCCATGGCGTGTAACTGTCCCTCCTTCTTCCTGGTGACCTCCTCCTCCCTGGTCACTATGGGGCAGGCAGCCAGCCCCCCCCGCCCCCCCATCCCCTGTCCTTCTATGCTGCCCCAGCAACTATCAGAGCCGCCCCTCCCTACCCTACCCACATGAACACTGCCACCACCCATTCCTATCCTTGTCCCCTGCCTCAGCTTATTCCAAACACATAGCCAGATTAGCCTCCTCTTCCTCCCCTTAGAAGGACCTGTGACTCCCCATTTCTTGCAGGGTGCCATCCAGCTGCTCAGCCAGGCCCAGCCGCCCTGCTGCCTCTTGGTTTACAACCCCACGAGGATCTCCATAGGAGTTTTACCTCCAGACTTTTGTCTCCTTCCCGCTTTAGCCCGCCCAACTCGTGGATCCCAAAGTGGTAATTTCCCAGCAGCCCTGAAAAATCACAAAAGTTTGAAGCTGGAAAGACTCTGATGACTCTGAGAGCCACTTCCCACAGTTGCCTCATGTCGTAGGCAAGGCCCTGAAGGGCAGGGCCTGACCAAGGTCACAGAGGATTAACTGTAGGGAATTCCTCCTGGCACTGAGGATTCTTGGTTCAGGGTCTCCAGGACTGTTCTTCCTTCCACTGCCATCCTTCAGACCCGGAGTCCCCTCAGGGCGGAAGACCTGCCCTCATCTCAGCATTTTCCGCCACTCAGCATAGAGCTGGGCTCACAGAGCATGAACAACCACTCCAATCTCCCTGGACGATGGGAGGACAGGGCAGTGTTTCTCCTTCACTCACCACCAACCCCACCTCAGCCCTGCCCACCTCCCCATTCCCAATTCCTAGGCCCTCACCTGCTGGTGCCTAAGGCTTGCTCCCTTGGTCCGGCTGCCAGGTGAGAGGGCTCTTTCTCCAAGAAGCCCTGGTAGGGCCAGGCCCGGTGGAGTAGGGCAAGGCGCACACTTGAGCAGGTAGGCGGTCCGGCCACGCTTGCTCAGGAGTGGAAAACACCACTGGGCCCACAGCAGCAGGCCTCACCCTGCCCAGCCCCCCAAGTTACTCATTGACTTTGGAAAGCTGGGGGCTGCTCAGCATCCGTGACTGCCAGCACCAGGAGGTGGGGACTTCAGCCTGGCACTCCTCTCACCTTACACAGCCCAGTGGGCATTGCTTAGCCTCTGGGCTTGGACCTTACAGTCTGCGAGTTTCACATCTGCAGATTCAACCAAGTGTGGATTGAAAATATTCGAAATAGAAATGATTACATTGTTGCTGATATGTCCTATATAGTTAGGCCTATGATGGTTGTGTCTATACTGAACATGTATAAACTTTTTGTCTTGCCATTATTCCTGAAACAATACAGTATAACAACTATTTACATAGCACTTACATTGTATTAAGTATTGTAAAGTTATTTAAGTTTTAGGTATTATAAGATATTTATAAGATGTATTAAGTATTATAGAGATGATTTAAAGTATACAGGAGGCTGTGCGTAATTTATATGTGAATACTATACCATGTTATGTAAAGGACTTGAGCATTTGCAGATTTTGGTATCTGTGGGGGTCCTGGAACCAAACAACACCTGTGGATACAGAGGGATGACTTGTACTTTTTTTGTGATTCCAGACTCGATCCCACTTCTCCTCCATTCACCAGCATCGGTAGCTCCACCTTGGCCCACTCTGTTCCTTTTGTCTGGAATACCCTTCCCACCCCGTCATCAGTCTGGTCAATACCTGCTCAGGTGTCAGTACTCAGCTCAGATAGTCCCTTCTCCAGGAAATCTGCCCTGGGTGCCCAGGCTTGTTCAGGGTTCTCATCTGAAAATACCCACCTCCACTCCCACCCCGCCCCATGTGCTACCTCTATCAATGCAGAGAGGACACCAGGTTTCCATTGTCTGTCTCTTTCATCAGACTGAGAGCCCCTCCAGAGCAGCACTCAGAGACCCAGCTGGCCCTTGCCTGGCTCAGCAGCTCCCGGCTGCCTTGTGGAACTAAGACAAGGAGCTGGGAGTTGCACATGAAGGGCAGATAAGCAGTACACGATCTGAACTGGGCATGCAGGACTCTATACCACCCACCAGGGAACCAGTGGGTGTGGGGACAGTGGCCTGGAAGTGCTCCTGAGGCTCCCTAAGTGTTCACATTAGCCCCCGGACACTGACAGGGCTGAGACAATGGACCGCCTCTGCGCCTCTGAGAAGGAAATAGAAGATTGAGCCAGCTCAGGTGACCTTGAGGGAATTGCAGAGCTGACCAGGGGCCCTTCCCCCAGTGAGGGCAGCCAAGCAGAGCCAAGAGAAGCTTCTGGGGCCTGGAAGTCCAGGATGAGGAGGGAGGGTGGGAAGGGTCACAAGGTCTCTAATCTCTTCTTATCCTCAGAGTTTCCCATGGTCTCCCCCGAGTCCTTCCCACTGCATATCTGGTTAGTTTCTCTCAGGCTGGAGGCTGAGTCAGGACCCCTCAGCTGCCCCCAGCCTTGTCTGTCACAAGCTGAATGCCTGCCTCAGGGTCCTTCAGGCATCCCAGGCACCCCGACCTGGAGCAGTGCAATATAGGGAAGTTGAGGGGGTCTTACATGTGTTAAGCTCCTACTATGTGCCTGGCACGGCTCTAAGCACATACTTTCACTATTCTACCCACTCCATTCTGAAGGGGACATCATCCCCATATCACACACTGGGGCACAGAGAGGTTGAATGGCTTGCTGAGGGTCACACAGCCAATAAACAGCAGAGCCAGGAAGTTCTGAATTCTTCTTCAGGCCTCGGGACCTTCACCTGCTCTAAGAAAACCATGTCCTCCACATGCCTTGAAGTATGTTGAGGGGTGGGAGTGGAGAGCAGCAGCAGCTTTGAGCAGTTAAAATTGCCTTGGGGGGCATGTGTGTTCGTCACAGAGGTCACACAAACTGAAGAGCAGCCTTCAAACCTCCTCCTGCCATTGAACAACTGCAATCAGGATTCTAACCAAGTTCCGAGGGCTCCTAGTAGAATTAATTAATTGAACTAGTGAAGGAATATATGGACCCTTCAACCTTCTCAGCCTGCAACCTTCTCAGAAAATGTCCCCAGCCTTGCCCCAGGCTACCTCCAGGCTTGGAGACTGGCAGACTTGTATACCAGACCCCACTCAGCCACTTCTACCTGTGTGACCTTGGGCAACTGCTTCAATTCCCCATTTGCCATTGCTGAACGGGGACACTCCTTCATGAAATGATGTATGTAAAAGTCCCAGTAGGCACCTGTGCCCAGATGGGCTTACCTTCCTGGGTTTTGGTGGTGGGGAGACAGGCACACCTCTATCAGCAAACATGCACAAGTTCCCACACAGATGCAATGTCTCTCATCCCAGGAAGGGAGGGTTCCAGGAACCTGTTCCCACCAAGACCACATTAGCCAGTGCTGAGCATGGTATGTTCTGGCCTGGCTACTCACAGTGGAGAGAACAGTGAAAGCCCCCTCAGTAGCCCAGCATCAGCAGGGAAGTAGGGAGCCACGTGGAGTCAATTCTGAGGGATGTGCCTTCCTCACCCCGCCTTTAACAAACCTGCCGCCTCCTTCCCCAGCCAGGGAGTCTCGAAGTCTTCCACAGTCACCCCACCTGGGAGGATTTTCAGTCCCTCCAGGTGAAGCAGGGCAGAGACACCAGGCCGNAAAAAAAAAAAAGAAAGATAAAAAGGTGAGGGAAGGGGGTGGGGGAAGGATGCGGTAAGGAGACAGTTCTAGAAGAGGCTAAAGAAAGCTAACAACCAAATGCAATACATGGACCTTGATTGGAGCCTGATTAAAAAAACAACTATGAATGACATTTTGGGGAAATTCATATATGACTAACTGGATATTTGATGGTATTAGGGAATTGTTCTTTGTTGGCTAGAAAACAGTACTGTGGTTATACAGGCTTACTCTTAGGAGACACAGGATGAAGTACGTAGGAGTGAAGAGTCATGTGTCTGCATCTTACTCTCAAAAATATTTATATTATACACATATAAATAAAGCCAGTGTTACAATATATTAACCACCGTTGAATCTAGGTGGTGGTATATACAAGGTGTGATCACAAAATATGGTGAATGTTTAAATTAAAATAAATTATTACAGTAAAAGACACATTGCCATTAATCCTCTTCAAAATACGCCCCCTCACTACGATCACACTTATCCCATTGTTCTTGCCACTTTCTGAAGCAGTTCTGGAAGTCCTCTTTTGTGACTGCCTTCAGCTGCGCTGTTGTGGCTGCCTCGATGTCCTGAATCAATTAAAAATTTTTACCTTTCATGGTCATTTTGACTTTGGGGGAAGAGCCAGAAGTTGCATGGTGCCAGATCCAGTGAATAAAGTGGATGAGAATACACCATGTTTTTGACAAAACTTGCCATACCAGAAGCAATGTATGACACGGAGCTGGTGATAAAAATCTACAGTGAATGCCGCTGCCAAGTGCCATCCAATGGAAAGGCGGGGATCTTCAATATGGGAAGCAGCGCTTCAAACCTTAGTAACAATGTGTGACAAGTTTCAACTTGTTCAGTGCAGTCAATCGTGAACTACGGACCTTGATTGGAGCCTGATTAAAAAAACAACTATGGGGCCAGCTGAGTGGCTCAGCAGGTTAAGCGCTCGCTCAAGAGTTCGAGCTCTGAGCAACAACGGTTTGAGTCTCTGCCCGAGCTGAGCTACCGCTGAGCTGCCAATAGGTGGCAGGATGGCTCAGCTAAAAAAAAACAAAACAACAAACCAACTATGAAATGACATTTTGGGGAAATTCATATGACTGGGTATTCCATGGTATTAGGGAAGGTGTGTGTTGTTTTTTTTAAAGATTTTTATTGGGGAATTGGGGGAAGGGGAACAGACAAGTTGCTGTCGTTTTGTTCTTCAGTCTAGTTGTGGAGGATGTTGCTTCACTGGCCCAAGTTGGCACCATCATTGTGCTCTTCCCGGATAAGGCAGATCAGTCGCCGGCTTCTGGACGGCCGCTCATGGCAGCTGCTGGCCACTCACGCTGGCTGCCGGCTATACACGGTAGCCCATGGCAACCCACTGCAGCAGGGGCTGCAGCCTACGCCGTCACCAGCGATTCACGGCAGCCCAGCTCCAGGTTGAGCTGTTGTTCAGCATCTTAGCTGTAGAGGGCAGTGTCACTGGCCCTCATATGTGGGATCCGAACAGGGGCCCTCTGGCGTCCCAAGCCAGCTCTTAACCAACGTGCCACTCCGGGCCCAGGGAAGCTGTGTTTTAAAGTGTGCCATAAATCACCCTCCATCAGGACAATGCTCAATGTCACACCTCGCTTCTGGTATGGCAGGTTCTGTCAAATAAAAACATTACAGTGTGTCCCCATCCACCTTATTCACCAGATCTGGCACCATGTGACTTCTGGCTCTTCCCCAAAATCAAAATGACCATGAAAGATAAAGGTTCTGAATCGATTCAGGACATTGAGGCAGCCATGACAGTGCAACTAAACACACTCACGAAAGAGGACTTCCAGAACTGCTTCAGAAAGTGGCAAGAACGATGGGATAAGTTTGTTTGAAGCGAGGGGGAGTATTTTGAGGGGGACTGATGGCAATGTGTCTTTTACTGTAATACTTTTTTTTTAAATTTAAACAGTCACCATATTGTTTGATCACACCTCCTAGGTATGCTCATTACACTGCTCTTTCAATTTTTTGGTATACTCACAACTGTTCCAATCAAACCATTCAGAGACATTTTTTAAATACAAGTAAACTGCACCTCACTGACCTAGTCTGTATAGGCACTCACTAGCAACACCCCCTCCCAAACCCAGAGTGACCCCACCATGAAGAAAGACTCTAAGGCATGCTGGGAAATGAATATAAATTAAGGGTTTATTATAAAATGCAAATGTTAATTTCTTATAGTCAGTGATACAAGAAAACAAGGCCATGAGCCCTGGGTGGGACTGGAAGTGAAAAGCCAGGCTCAGGAGCGGGCTGACAGGCACTGGTTCACAACCTCCAGCAGGTGGACATTCTCCAGGGCAGCTGCCACCCGCTCCTTATCGGCAAGCTGCTTATTCACTGGGCAGAAAGGAGGGAGTGGTGAAATATATATGTACCCCCACCAACAAAGCCCCCATCACCTCCTTTCCAGGACCCCAAGCCTTGATCAGGCTACCCCAACCACCTGAGCCCACACCTATCCCACCTTCTGGGACCCCTCCCACCTGGCTGCTCATCCCTGCCTCCTGTACTATATCGCCTGACACACCCTGGTCCTGTGTAGTTAGGAAAGGGAAAGGACAGGAGTGGGGGAACACAGGAAGCACAGGAGACTCAAGTCAGTCCAGCTTCAGTCTTGGGCTGCCACCTTTACTGAGGAGTCACTACCCAGCAGCACCTGCCCCTAATCTTGCCCCACAAACCACCATGGCAAGGAGGAAGCCTCAGGGCCAATGCCTTAACACTAGCCCTCTTACCTGCATGCTCTGAGGCATGAGTCCCTGGTGTAATGTGCACGTCCATCTGGAAGGGAGTAAGGCACAGCCTGAGCACTCACACCCTATGTACCCCCTTCTCTCTCCCTTCCTAATCATGCCTCTGGACACTGGCCTTTCCAGTACATCCCAAACCCACCCACGGCCAGTCCCATCTCTACTCGAAGGACAGGCCAACTGCTGTTAAAGGCCTGCCTGTGCCCCATCCCTGCTCCAAATCTATCTACAGCACCCTACCACTGCCCTTCCTGCCACACTCCTATTTTTCCGCACTTTCAGCTCAGGCCTTTATTCTTGTTATCCCACTCAATTGGAAAGTCTCCTCCCAGTTTCGTCTCTGCTAGTTGGGATCCTTCCAGGTCTCACTCTGATGTCCATGTTCATGCTCTCAATGTCCTCCTTAGTAGCAGGTGCTCACCCTTGCCCCACCCTCCGGGCTCATTTTCAACTTACCTTGAACCGCTGAGGAAGAGATCGCAAAAGCTTGACTTTGATGGACAGGCCAATAAGAGTGGCCATGCTGCAGTGCGGAATGGTGGGTGTGAAGGCCACTGCCACTGTGCTCTCAGGGTCGCTCACCTGGTTGGTGGGGGGGCGGGGTGTGAGGAGTCACAACCCTTTCGGGCCAGAGCCCCTCTTCTTAGCTTGTTGCTTCAGGCAAGTCGTCTAACCTCTATAGACCTTAGTTTCCTCATCCATAAAATGGGCACGACAATCCCACCTTCCAAAGATCCCCTGAAGAGTGTGTGAACTGAGTGAACGCCAGACCCTTAGTGCTCAGCTGCGTCTTTCTGACTCTCCCAAACAAGTCGCTCCCTTCAGACGCTGGGAGTAACTCACCTGAACCCGGACTTGCTCCACTACGTTCAACTCTTCTAGCGTCAGTGGATGCTCCGGGTCATTGATGGAACGAATCAGATGTGGCAAGTGAAGGAAAGGGGACTCTGTGCATTTGCCCACTCAGAACCCTCTTCCGGGAATGCCTGGACGTGATACAGCTCCACCGACTATCAGACTGATCACTTCATGCCCCCTCCCAGGCCCCTGCGAACCCGCCCGCGCCCGGCAACAGCGGATATCAAAGATCTCGCGCGCGTCGATGACGTCTGGAACCTGCTCGTCCTCCTCGCCCGCCGTCACTGGCCGCTCCCCAGAGCGCTCGTAGATGAGGGGGTTAGCGTTTTCCAGGAGGCCACCCCTCTTGGAACCGCCGCCCACCATCGCGGAACCGCTACGGACCACAGTCAACAAACACTTCCGTTCCTAAGGTTGTACTTCCGGGCAAGGGATGGGGGGCGTGGCGAGACGACGGGGTCGCGCGAGGGACATGCAGTGCTGCGGACCGTCGGCCTAGGGTTTGGGAGGGGCTGTGCCCCACGCGCGCTCTCTACACACACCCCGGAAGTTGCGACCGCTACATCTAGGCACAGAAAAGTCGCGCTCGGCGGTGCGATCCCTTAGATTGCTCGGCCGCGGAAGCCAGAGCTGGTTCTCGGGGGCACTGAAGACCAGCCTGAGATTGAGCCAGGCGTATCTTCAGGCACCACTTACTTGGAAGTTTGCCCCTTATGCTGGGCGGGCGCTCCCGTTCCCATAGTTGCCTCTTTCCTAGCACGCGTTTCGGAACCTCCCCGGGACGCGCCTGCATCCCCCGCTGCACCTTGGGCCAAGGAGTGCCCTGCAGGGTTCCCACAGTGCAAATCAGGAGACATTCTTTAAATGTTTATCAAATGAATAAGCGACCGTTAACTCGATCTTGGCGGGAGGTGGGAAGAGGGAAAGCCACGTGGTAGGGTTGATGGTGTCCTTAAGACAAGGGCTATAGTCACGTGTGCATTTCAGAAGGCGACCTATGGTCGAGTCGGGAGGGGACACGCGGAGACGCTCAGACTAAGGACAGACAATAAAGGGATAAGAAAGTTTGAAGGTGGACCCAGGAAACATCCTGAAAGCAAGGAAGAACTTTCAGGATGAAGGGCAGTCCCACCTCCCTGCCTTTCCTTATGCGGTTCCCTTCACCCTGAACGGAGGTCGTTCCCATTTCTCCATCAGTGGGGATCCTGATGGTGCATCTCCTCAAGGAAGCTCTCCTGGGTTCCTGACTTCTTCCGTTCCCTTTTCCTGGCTTGGTGTTCCCTTTCTCCATCCCGGAACACCCTTCTCAGGCCTGTGACTATAAGGACAGTGAACTCAGGTTTGAGGAGAGGGCTCGTGGTATTGCAGAGGGGCTGCAGAAGCCTCGCGGCCCCTTCCGAGATGGCCCAAGGGGGCTTGGGCAGGGAAAGCGGCCGTGCCAGTGCCCACCTGCCACTGGACTTTGCCTGCTCAGTTCCGCTCTCCTGCCAAATCCCCCTTTCTTCCGCCCACCCGGCGCGCCCTACCTACTCCCTGCCCAGTCCACTCTCGGGACCTGAGCGAGGCACTCACGGATTGGCGCCTGGACGGGCCCAAGGGCAGCCAGCCTCTCAGTGAAAAGCAGCTTGCGGGCTGTGAGCTGACCATGCAACTGGACCGACTTCGCGCGCAGTTAGCGCAGTGGCCTTTGGACTCCTTCTTCTTGTCCGGGGTCAGGGTGAGGTTCCCACGGGGACGACAAGGACCGGGGTCGGACTTTCCAAAGTCTGTAAAGGCTGGACCTGGGGCTACGGGGAAAGGAGCCAGGGAGGAGGGAGCCGGTGGACAGCCACAGAGCGGGAACCCTGAGCCAACCCGGGGTAGAATCCCTGAGGCTCTGAGACGGCTGAGGACACACAAATCGAGGGGCGAGCCGGGTCCGAAGGGATTTGAGAAGTGCCCTGGGAGATTTCCCTCCTAGCGTTTGTGGTGGAGCTGGCGCTGCCCGCGGATAACAATATCTTCCCGCTACCATCCCGCTCTAAGTGTTGCGCCTTTGGCCAGAAGAACGCATTGGCACCCAATGAGTGCTCCCCCAAAAGGGCACCAAGCAAGGTCCCTCCGAGAATTGGGCTCCAAAGGCACCCTCCCCCCTCAGTATCCTAAAGCCTATCTGAGAGCCCGCTGTGTACTCTTCACCCCATGCACCGGGCCAGGAGAGGACATGTCTCGGCTTCCAGGGCAAAGATGATCTCACTTTGTGCCAGCTCTGGTTTATGCGGGCACCATACCTGGCGGGTCCGCAGCTCCTGCACCCCCTGTTGTGGGGCATGATCCTCTTATCCAAGAAGGTCCTACCTGTGTAACCTAACTATCCTCCCCCTTCCCAGTCAAATTTGCCCCACAATCATCCACACTCATCCCTCCTCTATGGCCCACCCTGTGGGGCTTCCATCCTTATCTGCCAGCTGACCAAGCTTTCAGAGCTCACCAGGACCTTCCAGCACAACTATCAGTGAGGCCTTACTGATTCCTCGCTTTAAAAATGTTATTTTGGGGACGGCCGTGTGGCACATTGGTTAAGAGTTGGCTTGGGACGCCAGCTCTGAGCAGCAGGCACCCAGTTCGGATCCCACATGAGGGCCAGTGATGCTGCACCCTCTACAGCTAAGATGGTGAACAACAGCTCGACCTGGAGCTGGGCTGCCATGAGTCTCCAGCGACGGCGTAGGCTGCAGCCCCTGCTGCAGTGGGTTGCCATGAGCTACCATGAGTGGCCAGCAGCTGGTGTGAGTGGCCGGCAGCTGCCGTGAGCTGCCAAGAGCCACCGTGAGTGGCCGTCCAGTGGCCGGTGACTGACCTGCCTCACCCGGGAAGAGCACAATGATAGTGCCAATATGGGCCAGTGAAGCAACGTCCTCCACAACTAGACTGAAGAACAAAAGGACAGCAACTTGTCTGTTCCCCTCCCCCAATTCCCCAATAAAATCTTTTAAAAAAAAGCTGTGTATACATATATATAATCAAGTATCTAAAATGTTCTTATTTCATATCTCATAAATTATATTTACAGGGTTTTTTTAAAATCTGGATTCAAATAAGGTCCATACTTTGAATATTGGTGTGTTTCATTTTTTAATAAGTTTTGAGGTATGATTCAAATAGCTTACTGTTAGCCCATTTAAAGTGTACAATTCAATGGTGTTTAATATATTCACAGAGCTTATCACATCAATTCCCCTTTTCCCCCACCCCGACCCCCAATTTCAGCCCCAGCAACCACCAATCTACTTTCTGACTCTATGGATGTGCCAATTCTGAACTTTTCACATAATTGGAATCATCCAACATGTGGTCCTTTGTAATTGGCTTCTTTCACTGAAAGAAGATTCACTCATGTTGTTGCATATTCAGTACTTGGTTTTTTTTATTGCTGAATAATATTCCATTGTGTAGATATACATTTTATTGATCCATTTATTAGTTGATGGACATTTGGATTGTTTCCACTTTTAGCTATTACAAATAATTGTGCTACGAACACTTATGTACAAGTTTTTGTGTGAACACATGTTTTCAATTCTTTTAGATTTATTCCTAGGAGTGGAACTGCTGGGTCATATGGTAACTCTACATTTAACCACTTGAACTGCCAGACTGTTTTCCAGAGCACCTGCCCCATTTGAAGTTTCCAGTTTTTCCACATCCTTACCAATGTTTGTTATTATTTATCTTTTTCATGAGTTTCATGAGTCTTTTTCAATCTTCAGATTCCTCCTCTGCCTCTCCTATTTTCCTTGTAATTTTATTGTGTTGAAGAAACCAATTTATTTGTTCTGGAGAGGATCCCAGAGTTTGGATTTTGCCGATTATATCCCAATGGTGTCTTTTAACTGTTTTTCTGTCCCCTGTATGCCTGTAAATTTGTATTTATATTCTAGAAGCTTGATCAGATTCAGATTTCATGTTTTGCTTTGTTTTGTTTGGGAGCAAAACTACTGCATATGTGGTACTACGGACTTCCAAGAGAAAACATACAATGTCTGAGTGTCTTGCTTTTTGTGACAAAATAAGTTGTTGACATAACAGATTTCAATGTGCATTTCTCTTAGCATGAGTGAGGTGAACATCTCTTTATTTGTGTAAGATCTACTTATTTGTATTACTTATTCTGTCTGAACATATTCTTTCACCAATTATGCACAGCTGGCATATTTCTTATTTATTTGTAGAAATTCTTTGTCTACTAAGAATATCGGCTTTATCGCTGTTAGGTGACTTTCATTCACTTCCTCCCTAGGGCAATCCCCATAGCAGGATAGGCTGCACCTCTTACGTTCCAGGCATAGCTGCACTTCTCTTTTGTAGTTCTTCTCATAACACCACTCTTTATCTAGAGGGTGCTTTCTTTATGTCATTTTTTGCCACCTAGAGCATGAGATCCCTAAAGTCAGAACCTTGTCTTCTGATTCTCCCAGTTCTCCTACTCCTCATATGACCTAGCACACAGTCAGCGGAAAGGACACTCACCCCGTCAAACTCATGTGACCATTTGCTTGAAACTGCTTGGACTAAAACCATGGTGCCAAGCCCCAAGGAGCTTCACGAAGCGTGGAAAAGGCTGGGGCTGGACCCAGTGAAGGCAGTAGGGAGTGAAGGTGGGGACAGGATCATAGGCAGGAAATCTATAAAACAAGTGTTTGTAGATCAGGGTCCCTTGAACTGAGCTGACAAGGAGTGGACAACATCAATTAGTCTAGGAGGGCAGCTGATTGGGTGGACACAATGTCCATTTCTCTGCCCACAAGCCAGGACTCTGCCAGCCCCATCTGGACCACTCACATGGGGCAGGTGCGGGAGAGCCTTGTCCACATGAAGGGCACTGATGTGGAGGTCCACACCTTCCTAGGAATTCCCTTTGCCAGGCCACTTCCAGGGCTGCTGCAATTTACACCCCCAGAGTCCCCTGAATCTTGGAGTGGTGTAAAGGATAGGACCTCCAACCCAGCTACGTAAGCAGGGTGTTCAGGGAACTCCAGGCCCTGGGGTAAAGGGTACTCTGAACTCTGGGCTGGGCTGCAGTTGTGATTTCATTTAAACCTCCACGGCCAGTTTCCCCCCTGAGTTTGGTGGGTTCCCGCCATGCATTTTTCCTATAAGCCTGCTGAGGTTTGGAAGGGTGAAGTAACTTTCCTAGGCACAGGGCTTGGCACTCAGAGGGCATTAGCTCCTGCTGAAGGGATAAGCAGAGACACATATTTCCCTAGGTTTTAACTATGCCAAGCATTCTCTGCCATCAGGGAAGGTGTCTCTGGGAGAGGTTTGGGTTGGCTCCATGAACCTTGTAGGAGCCCCTGACTCCAGCAGCAGATACTGTAGATCCCTGTGGAATGGGAAACCCCCATTCTGCACAGTCATTGTGCCAACCAACAGGACCAGGTGCTATGGGCCAAGGGGCATATGTATGTTCTTACAACTGGAAACTGTGGAAGCAATGAGGTTCCCTGAGAGTCTGACTTGGGATGAACCACTGCCCTTCTCATAAGAAATTAACGTCCATTAATTCAGGCAACACATGTATGTGGGCTACTCTGTGTTCCAGGCCTATCTGGGTACAAGGATACAGTGGTGACTGTCAACACATGTGTCCCTCATGAGCAAAGGCTGGGCTCACCCCAGAGGCTGGCCCCTTCCATAGCCCATCCTAGGATCCATCTCCCCAACCTTGACCCTGCTGCCTTCCTGCCCTTGTGAGCTTGCCTAACCTGATCCTTCCTGATCCACCTGGGGTAGATGTTGCCTCCTGCATTTGGCAACCTGTTGATGGAGGAGTACATGGGAGACAGTAGGGACCCCCAGACTCTCCAAACCCAGTTCCATGAGATGATGGGGGACTCCATCTTTGTGATCCCTGCCCTCCAAGTAGCAATTTTTCAGTGTGAGTACATCTCTAACTAAGGCCAGACCTGCAAGGAGCAGCTCAGAGCTGAAGGTCCCAGGTGAAGTCTATTGGTGTCCAGGTCCCAACCCATGTTTATTTTTTGGACCCGTAGGTGCCAGGCACTTGCTATCCCCCATCTTGTTAAATCCTTGTGGCTAGTTTAAGAAACACTTTCCTCATTTTACAGATGAAAAAACTGAGATTCAGTGACATTCAGTGACTTACCCAAGACCACACCTTAGGAAGTTCCAAAACCATAATTTGAATGCAGACCCTTTCCACTGCCCCTGCTCCAGCCTAGGCTCCCTCACCCCATTGCCCAGATTCCAACCAGCTTTGGGCCTAGCTACGTTATCACCATGGGTGATGCAAAAGCTCCAGGTGAGGGGTCATCACATCATGGCCAATCCACCCCACTCCCCTAGGTTCCCATGCCCCCATCGGTTTCTATGAATTCCAGCATCAGACCAGCTTCTTCAAGGACAGCAAGCCAGCCCATGTGAGGGCAGACCATGGCAATGAGATGCTCTTTGTCTTTGAAATCTCTTCCTGGAGCAGCCACAGGTACTGGGTGTTAGGGCTGGCCACCAGCCAGATGGGTGGTCCACTGAGATTTTCCCTGCTCTAAAACCACTCAGGGGGTCCCAAGGATGCACCGGGCTGGTGGGTGGGCAGGTGGAGCCTGAAGAGCCGGGGGGTTCCTACCCCTTGACTGTCTCTGCAGGTCATGGTATGGTTCCATGGAGGGGCTCTCATGGCTGGCACCACCACCACCCACCTCCCAAGACGAGTCATCCCTGGCTGCCTCTGGGGATATGGTAGTGGTCATAATCCAGTACCACCTGGGGTCCTTGGCTTCCTCAGGTAAAGTGGCAGGCCTAGCTGATGAGAGGCCAGCTCAAGAGGAATTGAGGATCTAGGGTGAGGCTCCAGAGCTTGAATAGAGATGTCTCAGGCAAGCAGGGTGTCTGGGGACCAAGGGCCCTTGCCCCATGCTGCCTGGGCAGAGAAGGGTACTCCCTGAGGCTCCCCTCCTAGGGAAAGGGCTCAGCCAAAGCCAGAATTATACAGTGAATTTAGTCCTTTGGAGAGAAGATGTTGGCCCCTGGTGTGGGGCCAGGATCCCAACAGGGTGTGGGGGCAAGGAACAACAAGCTCTGGCAGCCACTTGAGAGCCAGCCCTGGCAGGCTTTCCAGCCAGGCCCACCACACCACGTGCTGGGCATATGGATACCAAGTGAGGCTTATAGCCAGGCCAGACTTGGGGAGCAGGGGAGGGTCTGGTATCCTAGTAACTGGTTCAGAGCAAACCTGCAACGGCTAAGGAAAATCTGTCAGGGTAGTTAGACCATGCTAACCACTGTCCCACTGTACCCCCAACACTAGAGACAAGCATGTGCCTGATAACTGGGGCTTCCTGGATTTGGTGGCTGCTCTGCCCTGGGTGCAGGGGAACATCACCCCCTTTGGGGTGACCTCAACTCTGTCACCATGTTTGGAGGAATTGCCAGTGCCTGCATCGTTTCTTCCCTAGTGAGTCACCACAAGGGACTCCCAATGATGTCTCCTGTGCTTCCAGACCTTCCAGCTCCTCTGCCCTCCTCTGACAGCCATCTGTGCCCTACACTGCACCCTTATCCTTGCTGGCTGCAGGGTGGTTTCCCGGAGCCATAGCACAGAGTAGAATCATCACCATGCTGGACTTACTGGATTCTGACCTGTGGTCCCTGGCTCGGGTCTCCATTTCTTTCACTCTCTCACCCCACATGTACTTACCATACCCTGCCTTGTGCTTTCCCTGGGACCCTAGAGGGCGTGTCACTGGTAAGGAGCTCCTTGTTGGCAGAGAGGGACCCATTGGGGTAAAAGAACCACACTGCCTGTGGGAGCTCAGAGAAAACCACCAGTGCAACCTGGGAATAAGATGATTCAGGAACCCATCCCTCCTGCCTCACTTCCCAGTGACTCCCTGACCCTGCTCCAGACTCAGCACCTACCATTATCCCCTCCCTGCCAGACCAGCATGTGCTGGCATCCCTCCCCCCAAACCCGATCTCATTTCCTTGTTCATGCCACAAAACTGTACTTGTGCCACTGGTTCTGGGAATCAAGTTAACTAGATAATGACACTGTTCTCAGAGGGATACAAGGGACACAGGGAACACACAGATAATGACAGTATGACATAATGGGGGACACACGGGGTGCCTGGAGCCCACCTAAGCTGGTGGGCAAGGAAGGCCTCTTAGGGTTGGTGGCAGGTCTCTGGCCAGTCTTGAGGTCCATCTCTGACATGATTGCCCCAGCTGTCCTATAGACACACGCCCTCTCTGTAGGAGGCAGAGGGCTAAAAAGTGGGTGTTGATGGGTGAGGAAGCAAGTCACTTTTGTCTGTCCCCAGAACTTCAAGGACCCCTTGGCCTGCAGCTCTAACTCCTTGGCTAAGATGTCACAGTGCCTTCAGCAGAAGGCAAGCAAGGAGCTGATCCTTTCCAAAAAGTTAATATGCCCTCTTCTTGGGGGACAGTGGCAGGTAATGGCACAGATGGGGTCCTGTCCAGCTCCTGTGGGAGCACAGGGGCAATCAGCAATCTGGGGTGAGACCTGGGCCAGAAACCCATGAGGGGAAAGGGCTAAGGACCCAACTAGGCCTGGGGCTTGAATGGAGGGTAGGCCCTGTCTTTCAGGGAAGAGGCCTGCTTGGGAGTCATTAGTTGCCTTGTCTCCTGACTCCTCCTGGATCCCCTAATCCCGGTGACCTCCATCCCCTCTCTTTCCTTCAAGGTTCAGCCACCACTCAGACATGCAGCCAGGTGACCCCTGGGGTCCCATCTTTTGAGGCTTGGGCCTGACTGGGAGGCCCCCTGCCTTGCTTTCTCCTGCAGAATGTTAAGGCTTTCTACACCATTCTTTCCCAAGAGCCCCAAGGCTGAGATGTGCTGAGGAAACACAGTTCTGTATGACTGGAAAGATCAGACTATGAGGAGCCTGTGGGCTGCAATGGGAGTGTGGACTTGTGGGTAACTGAGAACCTTGGAAAGGTTTTAACCAGGGGGTGACATAAACAGGTTGGAGGAGGTGGTGAGAATGGGGGGTAGAGAGCAGGGAGGAAGCCAGTGCCAGCTTTCAGGAAGGTAGAGAGGCACTGGTGGGCCCAGATTTAGAGTTAACAGACAGACCTAGTGACTGATGGGATACAAAGATGAGGGGAAGGAAGACTCCCCAGGGACTGCCTGGAGGTGAGTAGCACTGGGCCGGAAATCAAAGGCCTGGTTTTGACCACACTGGATGTATAAAGAGCCCTCTTCCTCCAGGCCTGAGGGTGTACCACATCTGGCAGTCATAGGGGTATGGGGAACCACCACCAGCTTTGGAGGGCTCTGGAGAGGGTGGGCAAGCCTGCTGGTGAGGCCCCAGACCCTGTCCTACCGCCAGCTCTCCCCGCTTCCCCTCCCCGCCTCCAGCTTCTAGGACTTCCTCCACATAGGGAGGGAGTAGAATGGCCTGGCATTGTCCCAGTGGCTTGGGGAGCATTCACACATTGTAGGTGCTCCTGCAATTCCAGTCCTCTTGGCTCTATTCTCTCTTCCCTGGACCACTGCCCCTCACGCTCATGGACTGCCCCTCCCCTGCCTGTCAAGGTGTCCTTGACCGACTGATGGCCCTGCCTCGAGGACCCAGCAGCCACGCAGAGGTAAGGGGAGAGATCCAGAGGGCACACACAAACTCAGACCAAGGTCTGCAAGGCAGAGACTGGTGGACTAAGGGAGCCTCCCATGTGGTGCAGTCACAGGAAGAGACCTATAAGCAGTGCGAGTATGTGACCACTAGGGGGTACTGCAGGATCAGGCATGCACACCTGGACCCGGTTACCCAGCCAAGGAAAGGGCAGATGCTCTCAGTAGATATAGGTAAGAGTGTACATACCCAGTGCCAAACTTAGTTACACACACACACACACACACACACACACACACACACACACAGGCAGGCACACATGCTCACTAATAGGGTTTGAATCCATTTCCACATATCACTGGATATGTATCATTGAGCAAGTTATTTTTCGTTTTTCCATCTGTTAAATGGAGGCAATGATAGTGTTCCCCCTTCATAGATCTGCTGTGAACATTGAACGATCATTAGCTGTAAGGCAAATGTGCGAAAAAATGCTTTCTGGTATATGTATGGACACAGACTCTAATCACACTGTCTGAAAAAAATCATATGACTTCTTGACTACAATTTAAAGATGGAAGGATTGGGGGATGTTAAGGGGTGTCATAATTTTGGCATTGGCCTCTTCCACCTTAAAGTAACTCTTAAGCCCATGTTTGCCCAGAAGAGGTGGCAGATGGAACCTTATATTCTGAATGGCAGACTGAGTTGCCCTCTCAAGGAAGAGACCCTCTTAGAGTCTCAGGGAAGCCATCACAAATCTCTCCCCCACTCTGTCTGCAGCCCCTCCTCTTGAATTTTAAACTCACCTCCTCCCCAACTTTTCCAGTTCACTGCCCAGATTGTCCAGGCCCTAGGAAGGTTATTCGAAGAACAAAAAAAAGCTTGGTAGGGAGACACCAGCTTTGCTACTTGCAAATAGTGGTTCCCACACATCCCTTCTCCCTTTGCCCTGGTCCTTGGGCCTCTCTTCCCGTCAGCCTCAGACTCCTGATGCTTTGAAGGTGTTGTTGCCCACTTGAGCCTCTCCTGAGGTGGGGTTGCCCCTTCCTACTGTCCCTGAGCTCGCCTCTCCTGATTTTGGGGGCCTTGACCAGGGCCCAGGGCATAGGCAAATCTGCTGGCAGTGACACTTGCTGAGCTCTCCTCCATGCTCAAGCTTACTCACATCCATCCTCTCCTTCATGTCTCTGAATAATCCTCTAGGGTCCTGAGTGGATCCCCATTTTACAGATAAGGAAACTGAGAATCAGAGCCGGGAAGCGCCTTGCCTGAGGCCACAGAGAGAGTCAGGAAAGGGCCAGGATTCATACCCGAGTCTATTGGCCTCCAAATTGCATGTCCTTCCCCCTTCAGCATGTGTCCTCATATCTAGAGTGGGTTTTCCAACTGCTGGAGTTGAGGTCTGTGGGCTGACATAGGTGGAGGGGCTGGGAGTCTAACAGGTAGCAAGGCTGGCAAGGGAGGGTTTTTACAAGGTGACAGCTTCAGACTGTGGCAGCACAACCCACAGAGCTGTTCTCAGATGCCAGCACAAGCCTCCCCTTCCCCCCTCCCCGCCCTTCTGGCCTGGATGTTGGGATTGTCAGTGTGCACAATATTGCCCCAACCAGACTTCAGGGCCTCACCCCTACTGAATTGGTCTGCAGGTGTGGGGAGCATGCAGGGTGAAAGGTTGGGTTGAGCCTCCCTACCCACAGAGGTCAGTCAGCATCCAGGCCATTCTTCTCTCAAGTCTCCAGGCCCTATTATCTGATGCCATACTGTCTCAGACCCCATACCACCTGAGGCCCCAAGGAAGTGAAGACTGAGCCCAGCCATAACTCTTCTTGGATGAAGTAAGCAGCAGTGAGAGCACTGGGCCCCCCAGGCCTCCTAGGAAACCAATTCCCCCTCCAAGCAGACCCAGAATCACCACAGGGGTCTCAGAGTAGCAAGAATGACAGGTGGGTGGTCAGAATCCCATCATCCCTACGTAGTCGTCTCCTGAAGGGACCTCTGTGTAGCAGACAAGGAATGAGGCAGAGCCAGGTCAAGCCCCCAGAAGCTGGTATCCAGCCTCTGCCAGGACCATCCCCTGGGGTAGAACTGCCCAAAGTCACCACCCCAAGGGCCGGAAGGAATCTGACTCACAGTGGAGAAGCCCCTGTCAGGCTCTCCATGACCCTCACACCAAAACCTGGGTG